ATACTTGTTCAATCTATATGCTGGGCACATAATCCAAGAAGCTATGGACTATGTGAAGAAGAGCGTGGCATCTGGATTGGAGGAAGACTCATTAACAACCTGTGATATGCAGACGACACAACTTTGCTTGCTGAAAGTGAAGGTAACTTGAAGTACTTAATGACAAAGACTAAAGACTACAGTCTGCAGCATGGGTTATACTCAACATAAAGAAAAAAAAAATCCTCACAACTGGACCAATAAGCAGCATCATGATAAATGGAGAAAAGATTGAAGTTGTCAAAGATTTCATATTCATATTTGCACAGTCAATACCAATGGAAGCAGTTGTCAAGGCATCAGAGGATGTATTGCACTGGGCAAATCTGCTGCAAAAGACCTCTTTAAAGTGCTGAAGAGCAAGCTTTGAAGACTAAGGTATGCCTAACCCAAGCCACGGTATTTTGAATAGCCTCATATGCATGTGAAATCTGGACAATCAATAAGGAAGACCTAAGAAGAGTTGATGCTTTTGAATTGTGGTGTTGGTGAAGGATAGTGAAAGTATCATGGACTACCAGAAGAATGGACAAATCTGCCATGGAAGAAGTACAGCCAGAATGCTCGTTGAAAGTAAGAATGGCCAGGCTTCATCTCACCTATTTTGGTCATGTTGTCAGAAGAGCCCATTCTCTGGAGAAGGATATCATGCTCGGTAAAGTGGAGGGTCAGCAAAAATGGGGAAAACCCTCACTGAGATGGATTGACACAGTGGCTCAGGTATAACAAGGATTGTGAGGGTGGCACAGGACTGGACAGTGTTTCATTCTGTTCTATACAGAGTCACTATGATCTCTCTGAGCTGACTTGATGGTACCTAACAACAACATTAAATACATGCCTCCCCCCATGTATTCCTACTTATAATTATTAGAGACATTATTAAATGCCACTTCAGAGGAATGAAAAGAACAGAAATCTGGTAACAGGGAATAAGGAATAATGGTTGGTGAAGAAATAAACACAATTGAGAGTACTTATAGTTAGAGTAGGAACTCTGGTAGCATAGTGCCTAAGGCACTTGACTGCTAACCAGAAGGCTGGTGGTTCAAACCCACCAGCCATTCCTGGGAAGGAAGGTTGAGCAATCTACTTCTGTAGTGATACTGCCTCAGAAACCCAAGGAGGTGTCACTATGAGTTGGGTCTGACTCAACAGCACACAACAACACAACAACAATAGTTTAGAGTATAGTGAAGATAAGATAATACACAGCTAGAGGGTGAAGTCAGTCCAAGGAATGGATTTTTGCTTTTATTTTTTTCTTGTCTTTAACTGAAGGGACTTTAACTTATTTGTATTTTATGAAGGGAAAATAAGCTGATGAAGGAGGAGCTTAAAGTTATAGATAAGAGAATACTGATTAATAAGGTTAAAGATTTTTCAGAAGATCAAGAGTCTGGAAGCCAAGATAGAGGTATACAGATATTTTTTAGATTACAAGAAAGAACTTAACCTTACCACTTTTATCTCGATCTGAATAGCTTCTATTAACAATTTTTTTTTTCCTGTGAACCAAAAGACATCCACTTTATTTTGTTTCGATATTTCCTTATTATTATTGTTCATTAGGAGCTCTGGTAGCATAGTGCCTAAGGCACTTGACTGCTAACCAGGAGGCTAGTGGTTCAAACCCACCAGCCACTCCTCGGAAGGAAGGTTTGGCAATCCTACTTCTGTAGTGATAACTGCCTCGGAAACCCAAGGAGGGGTCGCTATGAGTCGGGGCTGACTCGACGGCAAATAGCAACAACAACAACATTGTTCATTATTAGGTGCCACTGAGTATGCTTTGACTCGTAGTGCCTTCATGTATAACAGAATGAAATGTTGCCCAGTCGTTATGGATAGCAACAGACATATTCTTGATAGTGTCCATAAAATCTAAATTAATTTGCTGAGCAAATAATCTGAGAAGCTGGACTATATGAATAAGAATGTGGCATCAGGATTGGAGGAAGAATCATTAACAACCTGCAATACAATGACGACACAACTTTGCGTGCTGAAAGTGAGGATGACGTGAAGCACTTACCGATGAAGACTGAAGAAAACAATCTGCAGTATGGATTACATCTCAATATAAATAAAACAAAAATCCTCACAACTGGACCTATAAGCAGCATCACGATAAATGGAGAAAAGATTGAAGTTGTCAAAGACTTCACAATGCTTGTTTCTACAATAAATGCCAATGGAAGCATCAGTCAGGACATCAGATGATGTATAGCACTGGGCAAGTCAGCTGCAAACGACCTCTTTCAAGTGCTGAGGAGCAAAAATATCCTTTAGGCCTAAGGTATGCCTGCCACAAGCCATGATATTTTCAATAGCCTCCTATGCACATGAGAGCTGGGCAATGAATAAGGAAGATCAAAGGAGAATTGATGGTTTTGAGTTGTGGTGCTGGCGAAGAATGCTGAAAGTACCATGGACTGCTAAAAGAACTAACAAATCTGTGCTGGAGGAAGTGTAGCCAGAATGCTCCTTCAAAGTGAGAATAGCCAGACTTTGTCTCACCTTCTTTGGTCATATTATCAGAAGGGACCATTCTCTGGAGAAGGATGTCAAGCTTGGTAAGGTGGAGGGTTCACGAGAAAGGGGAAGGCCCTCAGTGGCTCCGGTGATGGGCTCAAGTATAGCAGGGATCAGGGAGCTGGGGTGGGACCAGGCGGTATTTCATTCTGCTGTGCATTGGGTGCTATGAGTCGGAGATGACTCAATGGCACCTAACAACAACAACAACAACAAAATTTAAGATAAATCAGCTAATGCTAATTCTACTTTAGGTTCTGCTTTTGACATTTGAACAAAATAAATTTCTATAATGTGTGGAAAATGAAACAAAATTTTAACAAGAACGAGCTTTTAAAATCACTCGGACCTCTTTGGGAAAATGCTTTTTAAAAAATACCAGAATATTGTTTTTATCTAAGATAAATTGAGAATTATTTTTTGTCTGTGCCATCTATCCAGACTTTCATCTAGTGAAAGATTATTTACCCATAATGTCTGGAAGTATAAATATTACTGAAATTTCTGAAGCTTAGCTATCAGTCCCTTGGAAGCACATACATAATTATTGAAATAGTACAGTTATTTTAAGGTGTGACTTAATTTACCATGTTGTTGTTATGTGCCGTCGAGTTGGACCCAACTCATAGCGACCCTCCTTGGGTTTCCGAGGCAGTATCACTATGGAAGTAGATTGCCCAACCTTCCTTCTGAGGAGTGGCTGGTAGGTGTGAACTGGTAGCTTTTTGGTTATCAGTCGAATGCCTTAGGTACTGCTCCACCAGAGCTCCTATGAGATATGATAAGAAATAAATGAGTTTTAGAAGTCCATATGGTAAGTATTAGAGTTAATTTGAATATACCATAATAAACAATTGAACAATATCTACCTATACAATGCTTTTTGATTGATTATATTGATTAGATGATTATATATTATATACAAGGGTAAGGCATCAGAAGTAGTTTCATGGAATTACTGTTGAAAGCACATGCACCAAATGATAATTAATTCTTCCATAACACTGAGATTTATGCCACATTTTGTCTCAAAAAAAAAAATTGATTAATGCCTTTTTCTGAGTTTTTCCATGTTAGCAAGTACTTTGACATTAATGCATGTATATAAATTTTTTATCTTTTAAAAGCTTGATAGTGACCTTGGTGGTCATCTACTCTAATTCTACTTTTTATTTTCCTCCTTCCCTTTCTTCCTTTTTTTTTTTTTTTTTCTTTTCTTCTTATTTTTCAAATCAAATAAGACTTTTCAGGGTGACTGATAGAAAGTGCTATAAATTTGAAGGTGCCTTATACAGAATGGATATTCAATAAATAGTTGAATTAATTAAAATTTATAAACAAGAATGGTAGTTTTTATCTGCAGTACCACCACTATAATAATTGTTAATTACATTAAATAGAAATATGAGAAATAGAGTTCTAGAAGATATATATTTTAAATCTGTTTACAGAATCTTACAGAATCGGCAACTAGTATTTTTTTATATGTTTTTGGTAATGAACAAATTATGAAATTATCCTCATTTTTCCATTTTAAGGTTTGTCAGTTAACTGATGAACAGATCTTTCACCTTGTGAAAATGATACGTGATTTCAGCATTCTCTTTTACAGGGTAAGAACAAAGTTTTAAAACTACGTAAAATATAAATGGTTTCTCTTTTTATGGCACCAAAAATGTCAAAGCTGTATATAGCCATCTAGTGGTAAGAATATAAAGATACAGTGAAGGAGTGTGATGTTTCATGGGCATAATTAACACTTTTAAATTAGTTAAATCATAGGTCAGTCTAAACTTGTCCAACAATGATTATATGAAATATTTTCTACTAAGTTGGAGACCAACTATATT